ACTTACTTTCACTCTCAGGGTGGGTTCTGCGGTGGCTGAATAGTCCAATCCTGGAGTCACAGACTCTGCACAGATGGTGTAGGAGGTGTCTGGGGACTTGGGTGTGTGGGATACTCTCCATTCTTTGCACTCTTTCTGCTGCTTGCACTTAGCCTCCATGTGCTCCAAGTGGTTGATGCCTTTATGGATGCTTCATCTTTCGCTTGTGTGTTCTAGGGCAAGTAATTCCCAAGTGTCAGTGGGGACTTGCATTTGTTTAAGGAGGCTTGTGGGGAGCCCTTGTCGTGCTCCCTCTGCCCTCCATTTGCCATTGTGGAGATCAGAGTAGAGCACTTGTTTAGGGGAACATGTGTCGGGCATGCAAACATTGTGGCCTGCCCATTGCAGCTGGTGAGGCGGGGCTAGTGCCTCAATACTGGGAATGTTGGTCTGGGACAGAGCTTTCACATTGGTACCACGTCCTGCCGATGGATTTACTGAACTTTGTGAAGGCAGCATTGGTGACAATCCTTCAGGAATTTGAGGTGTCTGCTGTACATGCTCCAAGTTTCTGCTGCATACAACAAAGTTGGGGGCGACGGCTTCTCTGTAGACCATGCATTTGTTGCTGGGTTTGAGGTCTTGTACTTCGAACGCTCTGTTCCTCAAGTTCCTGAGCCTCTGACTGTGTGTACGTGTAAGTGTTGTCTGCATACTGCAGCTCACTAACAGAAGTTGGAGTGGTCTTGGTTCTGGCCTGCAGACAAAAGTTGAACAGTTTCCCACTCATCCTGGACGCTAGCTCCACTTTTGCAAGTAGCTGGAGTGTTTCTGCGAGAAAGACAGACAGAAGTGTTGGTGCAACGATGCAGCCCCCTGCTTGTCCCCAGTTTGCACTTGCATCGGATGTATGGTGGATTTGTTGCTGAGGATAATGGCTTGTATGTCATAATGAAGCAAATTTCTGTCGGCAGCCAAATTTGAAAAAGGTATTCCTCAGTCCTTCAACGATTGACAAAGTCAGAGGTCTTTGTGAGATTGAGGAAGGTCACATACAGAGATTGGTGCTGTTCCCTGCAACTTTCATGGATTTGTCATGCACTGAAAGTCATGTCCATTGTGCCCCTTGACAGGCAGAAGCCATGTTGAGACTCAACGGGGAGCTCTTCAGATACTGGGAGGAGGCTGTTGAGGAGGTAGACAGTAAGGAAATCCCTCTGTAATTTCCACACTCAGACCTGTCTTCTTTCGTGAAGATGGTCACAATTACAGTGCCTGTGAAATCTCCAGGCAGGCTGTCTTCCTTCCAGACAAAGGCACTGAGGTCATAGATTCATGTCAAGATATAAAATAGATATACAAAGGGTTGACTTGAGATATGTAAACTCATTGTAGCAGTCTGTTGCTTTGGCTTCTTGACGTGTATAATATAATCTACATTTGTCTGCAAAATCAAATTATTGTTAACAGCTCTTTATACTTTCTAAAGTGTTTTGTGTACATATTTATATTAAACTGGGTGTTCCAAAATGGTAAAACCCAACAAAAAATCTACTCCATGTTCTGCCCAAAGAATGCCATCAAGAATACATGGGATTTTCCTAGACACAAACTCAAGAATGTAATAGGAAAAGCTCAGCCCCTCCACTGAATGAACCAGACAAGAAGCACATAACATAACATGGACAGGTTTGAAAGAACTAGGCCTATGTCATGCATGGACTTGAGGTTAGCCTGAACCCTGTACTTATTCGACAAGCTCGGTGCATTAGCACAGAGGTTATCATCAGCACTTTTATGGAGCTCTACTCAAGCAGGCCTTTCTCTTGGCTTTCTTGAAAACTTCTTACGAAGAGGTAACACCTCATAAAAAAGCCAATTTTTAATTTCAGAAAAATGTTGTTTTGTGAATGTAAATGTTATTTAGTTATGTTACATTTCTTTTCAGTAGCTGGTCTTTTTCATTTTCTTTGTGAGTGTGAGAACCCTTAATTAGGAGAGGATTCAGCAAAGATTAAGAAGGAATATAAGCTGCTTCATGCCCAATATGGAGGAGTTGAGCTGAATAGCGACTACATTTCCATTTGATAGTCCATTCTGGCAGCACATTTCTCAGCCATATTTCAATTCCTGTACTTAAATCAACATCATTTTGCAATTACTTTATGTATGTTCTGGGATAGCTTGGGTGTGCTGTCACCATCTTCCATGTTCTTGATTTTTCAAAATCACTTTGGATTATAGTACCTAAAATATATACTTATACATTAAGATGAACAATCTTTACCCTGCCCTCTTCTCCCCATCCCCAACCATCATTCCATTCTCCTCCATCCCCACTCTCTCTGCTCACGTCAAATTACTTTGACATCAAAAGCTGAAATAACTGCTGGTGTAGTTATTACTGCAGTTGCTCAAGGGAGCTATTCAGATGCCTCATTTATTGAAGCTTAATAGATAAAAAAGCCAAATTGGGTCTCATGATAAAAGCCTAATCAAGTTATAATCTGCATAATTTTCACATAAGCTTTGGTGTGAAATTTACATAATTTATGTTGCAGAAGATACTAATGTGATATTAAAAAGTATTTAATATAGTCACTGAATTTTATTTATCATGATCACTGATTGTTCCGCTATTCGACACTTGTTTTTGTTCACTATCTGTTGGATATTGCAAAATGATTATCATCTTAAAATATGCTGGTTGGTGTTTTGATCTGTGTCCTCCACAGAAGTATCCTTAGATACTTTGGGATGTCTGTCACCAATACTACAGAGGACCACTGTCAGCTTCCTTTTTTATTATTTCCATATTAGCTCTCATGCACAACTACAGTAACTAAGAGTCTCAAACAACATGGGAGTTGTATTGTCTGAGTGGTGAAATACATAGAATAAGACAGCCTTTTCTGCAGGAATTCTCTGTGGGCTAAAGTGTTAAAAGCAATAAATGGTTAGACTTTCCTCAAGTACAATAATAACAGAACTCCTATATGCCGTGACACTCTTCAACCCCACAAATTTTTGTGCCATCAGCATGGAGATTGTATGAATTATTCTAATGGCACAAAAATATTAAATTTGTTTTAGGTAGACTTTGAAATATTGGTTTGAATAGAATGCAGAAGGACTATGTAATAATTAGTGCTTTTTTTCATTAAGTCTTGATTTTTCTGGAGACTTTGAGGTACCTTTGTTTATTAAAACGAACCTGTCAGCATTCAGAATGCAAAGTTACTTCATTTTTATTGAGACAGGAAAGGAATTGAATACAGAACAATTGCATGAAATAAGACAGTGGGGTGAAAGATAATAGAAATCAATCTGCTAAACCTTTTTGATTTATTTTTAAAATCACATTTCATTTTGTTCTGGTTTAGTGATTTAAATTGTTTTGTTTCCAGGTATTTTGATCTCCTCATTCATTCACTCTTCCTTTGTGTTTTATTTTCCTGTAGTTGCAGGCAATTTGTATAAGTTGAGCTTTTCAACATGCTAAAGAACAAAACAGCAGCTAACAAATTTGCATGGCAACCATAAAGGCTGTTGCTTTTTTTTTGTTATTTATAATCCTTAAAGATACATTACAGATACCTTTCAACAACAACTGTTAACATAAGTTAATGTAACAATTTGATCAACTTAACTGAACCCGACCTTTAAAAAAGCTTCTTTCTCAGCATTCTGTTGAATACTATTCTTTATTTAAGTCAAATCTTTTTGGAAACATCAAATATGTAGTTAATATTTGGGGAGGATTTCCATTTGAAAAGGACATTTCGGATAGTGTTATTTAAAACAATTGAAAGAATGTGATTTCTTTAAAACTTGGAGATCTTTTTTTAAAGAAAACAGTTCAAAAGCCAGCAGCTTGGGTTTTATTGTGTCAGCATTAACTAATGGCCTGAAGCCCTCTCAAAAAACCTGAAGTCTATGTATTATGTATACAGCATTACTGGCTTTAGGTGTTGACTTGTCAACAAGGAAAATGAAAAATGTCAAGTTCCATGACTTCAAAGAAATGGCATGTTTGTAGGGATTTTTTTTAGGTCTCTGAACGTTAACATTTCTGATAAAAAGGGTTTTATGTTCACTATGTTTAACCCAAATGGAGAACATGTAATATTAATATCAGCAACATGATGGGAAGCTGTAAATACTAAATAAGTATCAAGTGACTTTTATTGATGAAATTATTTCAGGTTGCTGCTAGTGGGCTTGTCTGTTTGGTGAAACATTAATGTAACAAACCAAAAATAAATTTGGAATAAAAGCTTACATGAATTCCGGATCTACCAACATTAAAAAGGAGAGGGATGGTTGGGGGGAACTTGGTTTAAAAGAAGTTACAGGAGTTCATTTTTCCTGTGCTGCACATGTTCCCAAATTGAGGGATGTCTAATCAGTTGATATTCCCACTTCGATTTGAATTCTTAACAATTTTGGGTGAGGGGAGGTTGTTTGACTTTAAAGCATATTCCATTTCTCTGAACTTAAGATGTTGACAGCTTCCTTTGTACTGTAGCTCTCCACCATAATATTCCCTTCAGGAGCATACAAATATTATGTTTCAGTGGTGGGACTGTAGCAACTCAGAGAGTTTGTGCATACTTTATTTATCAGCAACCCATATTACAATGTAAAATGTGGCACATCAGAGAGTTTTAAAATGAGAGCTTGTTGTAACACTTTTCTGTTTCTTAATTTTCTTTTTGGAGATGCTATGCAAATAAAGTAACATTCTAACAACTGTGCTAACGTACACGCGTTATTCAATTATGGTTTTGTAGCAGGAAAAAAAAATTGGAATTTTCATCATTGCTATATAATCAAACTTGTATGACTCAAGGTCTGTTGCTCTTACTGCAGGTAAATCTCTGTGTTATCAGAAAATTGGTTAGGTGGATCACTTACTTGTGCAAGAATGCATCTAGATTTTCTTTTTCTCAATAAGGCAGTTAAGTTTATCAAAGGGAGGTTTTGTGATTTTCTGACTGAACTATTTCTTCACTGGCCAGGATTCACACCTCCAGGAATGGACAGACCTTCTCCTGACAATAGTCCAGTCCATGGCCTAGTCCGACAAACGTCTGTCACCACCGGGGCCAACATCCCAATGATGACTGAATTAGGTAAGATGATCAAATTTCCTCCTCTTGGCTGTGTTTTTGTCAATCCATTAATCATGAACGGGGCGGGTATTACTCATACTGACATATCAATCACTTGACATATTTGCCATTTGTCACAATCCACCAACAGTCCCCTCAAGTAAAGCATTTAAGATTAAGTTTCATGCTTAATGACTGCTTTCGTAGCTGGTATTTGCAAACTTTAATGCTGCTCAAGGGAAATATACCAGAAAAGCCACACACATACTCTGTCTATAGATAATTGGTGCTACATCCATATCTTAAACATTTCACTCCTTCCACCAGTACTACAATCTGGCGACAGGGCGTACTATTCGCCAGATACATTGCAACAACTCACTAAGGTTCCTTTCACAGCAATTTCCAAATCTGTTACTTTTGCCACCTAGGATAGGGACAACCAGGCCCATGGAAATGTAATAACAACTGCCTTGTCTCCAAGTCGCACATCATTTGACTTGGAAATATATTGCCATTCCTTTATCAATGCTTGGTCAATAATCTGGAGCTCCTTACATTACAGAGCTGTGAATGTACTTTCTCTCCATGGACTGCAGCAGATTTAGAGTACAGTTAACCAACAGTTTCTTAAGGGCATTTAGGAATTGGGCAATAAATTCCGGCCTTATTGTATACAATAGTATCAACATTGTGTGAATGATTTGAAAGAAAGCTGTTAATACTTAAAAAGGTCTATCTTCAATGTTTGCTTTTACCTGATCAAAAAATGACTTGAGATAATACAGTGAAATTTTGAGATGTGGCATTCATAAGAGCACAAATTTTAAAATTCTGGCATTCCAATTTTCCAAAAATAATGTTCAGTTTTAACTCACAACAAAACTTGCCAATGTAACATCATGTGTTGTATAAGTAGGCTTACTGTTTACATCTCAATATTCTTAATGCTTGATTTGAGGATGTTTCCACGAACCTAAGAGCAATGATTTCATTAAAATGTGTTAGACAATGCTATTCTGGTTAAGACAGGAGCTGGAAGCTTTAAAATCTTGGGCCAAATGTAAGAAATACAAGACTGCAGCCTTGGGGCCTGCAGTATAGACTTGTTGGTCAATGGCTGACATTCCCACTGACTATTACTGTAGCTAATTGTTCAATGATATGGACAGAATTCAGATTCATTATGCTCAAGAGTATCTGCTGTAATGTTTATATACAGATTGTTGCAACTGGACTGATCAAAGGTTGAAAGATGACTGTTCACTTCTGAAGCAAATCCATATATGTTAGAATGTTATTGAAGATGCAGCGAACCCAGTCATTCAGGCCTAGGGGTTCTAAGTTCAACTCTTGCTTCCATCTGTTTTCCCCGAACTCGGAGACATTATGTACAATTATGTCCACCCCAGCCAAAATCAGCAAATTCAGCTCAGACTTCGAAACAATCCTTAGCCCTTAAGATTTGATACTCTGTCATTCATTTACCTTTTGCAAATCAAGGTGGAAAGTGCAGTGCTGACCAATTGTCATCCTAGTGTCAATAGTATTGTATATTTAAATAGATTTTGTTGAACCTATAATCGGTCATCTTCCTAACGTCGATCAGTGTTACTACAAGATCTGTAACTTGCTTGCAGGTATTACAATGGCCCACGTTGCCAAAGATAGTGGATGCACTGGTAGTACTCTTCCACGAATCCTTAGATTTCTGGAAAAGCCCCAGAGGATTGGAAACAAAAACAGATGTTGCTGGGAAACTCAGAAGTCTGGCAGTATCTGTAGAGAGAAAGCAGTTAACTTTTTGGGCCCCGTTTTGAAGGAGGGTCATGGGACCTGAAATGTTAGTTCTGCTGTCTCTCTACAGATGCTGCTGAGTCTTTATAGCAATTTTGTTTTGTTTTGTTTTTAACTTTCAGCATCATCAGTTCTTTGGCTTTTTCTTTCCCAGAGGATGTAAACTGCCAATGTAATACCTTTGTATAAAAAGAGAAGGAGGCTAAAACGAGGAGCTATAGGCTAGTTAGCTTAATGTCTGTTGATGGGAAGATGTTGGAGTCTCTTTTAGAAATATATATTATGATCAAGCCAAGTCAGTGTGGATTCATAAAGGGGAAATCATGCCTGAGAAATTTATTAGAATCTTTTGAGGAGATAACTAGGAAAAGATAGCTGAAGCATTGGATGTAATATATTTGGATTTTCAGAACCTGTTTGATAAGGTATCACGCATTTGGCAAATTAATAAGATAAGAGCCCGTGGTATTGGAGGTAATATATTAGCATGGATAGAGGATTGGCTAACTAATAGAAGGTAAAGAGTTGGAAATTTTCAGGATGTCAACTTGTAACTAGTGGTGTGCCAGAAGATCAGTGCCACACAGGAGATGCTAAATAAGGTAAAAGCCCATGGTGTTAGGAGCAGTGTACCGGCACGGATAGAGGATTGGCTGACTGGCAGAAGACAGAGAGTTGGGATAAAGGGGTCTTTTTCAGGTGGCAGCTGGTGCCTAGTGGAGTTCCGCAGGGTTCAGTGTTAGAACCACATGTTATACATTAACAATCAAAGGAACTGAGGGAATTTTTGCAGAGTTTGCAGATGAAACAAAAATATTTGGAGGGACAGGTAGTCCTGAGGAAGTGGGGAGGCTGCAAAAGGACATGGACAGGCTAGGAGAGCGGGCAAAGAAATGACTGATGGAATACAATGTGGGAAGTGTGAAGTTATGCACTTTGGTAGGAGAAATAGAAGTGAAGACTATTTTCTAAACAGGGAAAGGTTTCAGAAATCTTGGGACTCCTAGTTCTCTTAAGATTAACATGTAGGTTCTTTTGGCAGTTAGGAAGGCAAATACAATGTTAGTGTTCATTTCAAGAAGGTCAGAATACAAGAGCAATGATGTAGTACTGAGGCTGTATAAGGCTGTTGTCAGACTGCATTTGGAATGTTGTGAGCAGTTTTGGGCCCTGTATCTAAGGAAGAATGTGCTGACATTGGAGGGGTCCTGAGGAGGTCGGCAAGAATGATCCCGGGGATGAAGGGCTTGTCAAATAAGCAGTGATTGAGAACTCTGGGTCTGTATTCGAAGGAGTTTGGAAGGATGAGGCAGTAGGGGGTGTGGCTTTCATTGAAACTTTTAGAATGCTGAGAGGCCTGGAGAAAATGGATATGCAGAAGATGTTTCCGGTAGTAAGAGGGACTAGGACCCAAAAGTATAGCCACAGTGAAGGGATGACTCTTTAGAACTGAGATGAGGAGGAATTTTTCAGCCAGAAGGTGGTTAATCTGTGGAACTCATTGCCTCAGAAGGCTGTACAGGCCAAGTCATTGAGTATATTTAAGACACTGATAAATAGGCTTAATTAGTTAAGGGCATCAAGGGTTCTGGAACAAGTCAGGAGAATGAGGTTGAGAAGCATATCAGCCATGATTGAACGGCAGACAAACTCAATGGGTCGAATGGTCTAATTCTGCTCCTAAGTCTTATGGTTTTCAAGGCTGAATCATTAAGTATATTCAAGGCCAATATGGACAGGTTTTAATCAGTCAGGGAATCCAGAGGAAAAGGCAGAAAAGTGGAATTGAGGATTATCAGATCAGCTATGATCTCATTGAATAGTGGAGCAGACTCGAATGGCTGAATGGCCTCAGAATTCTAAATTTAAATTCGAATTCCTCAAAGAATTCTAGTAAGTTTGTCAGGCACAAGTTCCCGTTCATGAAGTCATGCTCTTACATCTTTTGTGACAGACTCTTATCATTTTTCCATCAACAGGCAGCTGATCTAACTGGCTTATAGTTACCTGTTTTCTATTTGCTTCCCTTTCAAAATAAAGGTGTTACATTAGTAGTTTGCAGTCCTCTAGGACATATCCAGAATCTAAGGATTTTTGGAAGATTACCACTAGTGCATTCACTATCACTCTAGCTACTTCCTTTCATATCCTAATGATGGTAAAATGTAGGTCAGTAGGAAATGTTATCATTATATTTGTGCTATGGAAATGTGTTATGCCTGATGTTGTGATTTAGAAATTATCAATTATGTCAGTCACCTGAGTCATCTTGCACTTCATCTGGAGGTCAAAGATGGGCCATGAGCGCAGGGACACCATGTACAAACTCTGAATAAGAGGGAAAAGGCACCTTTATGTATGGCTACATCAAGCTGTGCATAGACTCTTGGTACACAAATTGTCACTGTGTACCCAGGTTCTATCTGTCCCCAGTGTTGCAAAGGATGAGTTTGGCCTCAAAGTATGTAAATAGTGTCCTGCATGAGTAAGAAATGCCTTTGGAAAAAACTATTTTTGTGAAATTACTGCCAAATTGATATTTGCAATAAGGCAATATTACAAATGTTGGGCCTGCATCACACAATTTCTCAGGTTTAATTTATCAGTCCTTTGAATCTTTTAACTTCTACAGTCTGAGGTTGATCTTTACTGCCCAATGATTTGTCGTAAGATGAAATCCAAGGACCAAAACAATAAAGCGTCTTGATATCTGAACTGAAATCAGTAATCCACCCTGTGTCACCGTGCATACCTCTTCAGTCTGCTGAAAAATAGACTAATGAACATTCAAGTGCAATGAGACCAAATTTGTGTAACTTTCACATCACAAGCATAAAACTGTGTTTTGATTGTAACAAATTACAAGTTTTATTTCATGAATTCCTTAAAATATAAAACAAGTTATGCATAAACTGACCATGTTGATGGGCTAGATATAACTTTTCTGCCCAATAATTTCTCCGATTGGCACAAGCTTGAGAAAAGTGCTGTCTTGCTTTGAATTTATTTCTCTTCCTTGGTCTTCAAGGTATTCCCAGTCCTTTGTTATCTTATTTCCTAATTAACAGGTCTCATTTTAACTTACAATGGTAGTGCAAAATGAGTAATATTGAATTGATCATTCATTGTAAATCCCTCCAGAATCTCCTCCATTGAAGTCATCGGGAAGAGAAATTGGAAGAGGTAGCTGGTCTGATATGAGGCCTTTAATGCCATATCTGTCC